AGTCAATCTTTATATAAGGGAAGTTACCGAATAAAATACATAATTATCTTGTTATAGTAAAGTACCACAGAAGGGTTTCGGCTTAGTTTGTTTCTCGTTATGCTTACTTGTAATAATTTAAAGCCCATCTTGACGTACATAGCTTCTTTTATAGGAGAGCCAGTGTCACCTTTCTTTTTTCTGTCTTTCTGTTTTTCTGTCTGCCTGTCTTTCTTTATGTCTGTTTTATTTTCTTTCTTACTTTCTTTCTTTCTTTCTTTTTAAATTGGTCAATAACCCGCACCAGCGAGTAGTAGTAGTAGTAGCAGTAGCAGCAGCAGTAGTAGTAGTAGTAGTAGTAGTAGTAGTAGTAGTAGTAGTAGTAGTAGCACTTCAGCTGGTTAGCTGCGCCCCGTCAGTGTGACAACCAGCTATTTATATTCCACCTCCCAGCTCGTGGATCCGGCCTTGGCATGGTGTGTTCTGAATTAGTCGAGGTTGAATGCTAAAAATACAACACAATAAATAGACAAATTCAATACGGATCGGGATGCAGGCAGACAGGAGGTCAGATAAGACTTGTCGACGCCAAATGTGTCGGGATCAGGCTCTCGCCAATATTTGTGCATATTAATGAAGTTATTGATATCATCGTTTAAAGTTTTGTATATTTTTCTTGATGAAAAAATACCCATCTATCTTGAATACTGGTCTAGATATCTACGACTGAAAGGGGTTGGGGTTCGCCATATGTCACAGGTTAAATTAGTGAGACAGAATATGAACGTCAAAGTTTGGAGGCGTCCAAAGCTTGAGTGTGCTTGAGACCTGCAAATGTACACTTTTTGTACTTTTGATAAAACCCTTTTCAGTAAAATTCACCCAGAATGTGCTTTTAAGTGGACATTAAAGGCGCTAAGGATAAAATGAAAAATATAAAATTGCTGAAAAAAAATGCCAACTTCTTTGATTTAATTCAGATTTCTTTACGATGCCACAACGATATGAAAGAAGGAGACGCTTTTACTTCAGAGTGAAATCAAATTTATTTATTTTGTTATCGTTCATTTCAAGTCGTTCGAGATAGAGTTAAAAAACTGCCAAAACCAATTATGTTCATAACATCAGCTTCCAGTGAGAGAAGCGTCATGAGAACGGACAATAAGACACACATTAGTACTTGTTCTGATAAATCAAGACAAAGCAACTTTATAGTTATATTATGTTCAGAAATACATAATATGATTAGGCTATATATTAATAATAATAATAATAATAATAATAATGAAGATCATTTCTATAGTGCCCACTCCCGTGTAAACACAGCTCTAGGCGCTTTACATAAATGCATGTACGAATAATATTCACGCACGCGACACCCACACGCACATACACACTCATACACACACACAAACACACACACACAAACACACACACACACACACTCACGCACACATAACACGCACACATGTGCACACACATGTACGCCAAACACACACACACACACACATACACACACACACACACACACACACACACACCACACATACACACACACACACACACGCACACACACACACACACACATCTACTTGCTTATCACACGCGTACGCTTACACATCGTCACGAAATGATCACACACATATTAATATATATATATATATATATATATATATATATATATATAATAAAACAATATACACAATGCAATTCACAAAGTACATAAATGGATACATAATCATTTACATAACCATGTACTGAACATGAATCTACTGTCATAAAAATGATGTCATTAAATGTGTCTTTAAAGATTTTTTAAAATTTAGACTCAGATGTTGTATGTCTAAAGGGTTGGGGAAGAGAGTTCTAAACTGACGGAGCAAGGTGAGCAAACGATCGTTCAGCTAATGTTTTACCCCCTTTTCTAGGAACTCTTAAACGATACTGATTGCCTGATCTTAGAGATCTAGATGGAACATAAATCTAGATGAGATAACTAAGATATGAGGGAGCTTTGTTATTGACACATTTATGACATCATTTTGCAATTTTATATGACATTCTAGCTGACACAAGAAGCCAATGCAACGATCTTAACATGGGAGTAATGTGGTCCCTTTTCTTTTTCTTTAGTACAAGCCTAGCAGCATGATTTTGAAAACGTTGTAACTTGTGAAGAATGGTATTTGGTAAGTTAGCTAGTAAAGCATTGCAATAATCGATTCGTGAAAACAAGAAAGAGGACACGAGCGTTTTCAACGAGTTTTCATTCAAAAACATAGACGTATGACCAATTCTACGCAATTCATAAAATAAAATGGTACATAAATAATTAATATGATGTTTCATTGACAATTTTGAATCAAAATACACTCCCAGATTTGTTGCTTTATTAGTAAAATACAGTTTTTCATTTTCAGTACAAAATATGATCAATGTCTACGGGGATATGGCTTTTCTTTGGGTTACATAAAAGAATTTCAGTTTTATTTTCATTCAGCTGGAGTTTATTATCAACCATCCACTTTTTGACGTCATCAGTGCACAGACCCATCGTAGTAAGCAAGGTTTTAACACCTGATGGTGGAATATATTTATATAACTGTGTATCGTCTGCGTACATGTGATAATTCATATTGTGCTTTCTGATCACAGCTCCAAGCTGCAGTGTATATAACGTATACAAGATTTGACCCACTACTGAACCTTGAGGCACTCCAAAGTCTAGCTTAAAAAATTGACGAAAGAGAGTCGTGCACAACCATAGATTGTGTACGGCCAATCAGGTAGGACCTGAACCAGCCAAGAACCCTGCCAGACAGGCCAAACGTGTTGAACAATCGTTCAATAAGAATAGTGTGATCTATAGTATCAAAGGCAGCACCAAGATCAAGAAGAGAAAGAATTGATATTTTGTTCTCATCCGTCTCACACAAGAGGTTGTTTTATATTTTCAATAGCGCAGTTTCTGTGTTATGAAATTGCCCATAGCCAGATTGATTTAATTCATATACATTGTTTTCTTTTAAATGATTCTTCAATTGAACCAAAACAACTTTCTCCAAGATTTTTGATAAAAAGGAAAGGTTGGACACAGGTCTGAAATTCTTGAGCTCCTCCAGGGAAAGATTTGATTTTTTGAGAAGGTGAATAACTAAAGCATGCTTAAAGAGTGATAGTACTACTCCAGACTATAGAGACTCATTAATGATGGAAGTTATAAATCCAATGACGCTATCAAGATGTGTGATGAGCAGTGGTGTTGGAATGGGATCAAGACTACATGTTGTATGGGGTGTTGACATTATGATAGATCTTACGTCTTCTTGTGTTGCCAGTACAAATTCATTGAAGATTACCCCAGAGAATGTTTCAAAACATGGCAGGGTATGGGTAGTTATGTCAATTGTTTTCCTAATCGTGGATACCTTGTCTCTAAAGTATTGACCAAAAACATCAGGAACCTCACTTTTAGGTACATTCGTGGGAAACTTTTTGCCTGCCGGATCTTTCTTACCAGACAACTGTATATTAATACACACTGGATCCCGCTTGCTCGTATGCACACACAAACATAATTATTCAGACACACAGACACAAACACACACACATACACGCACACACACACACACACACACAAACACATACACACACACACACACACACACACACACACACACAGACATATATACAATATACATATGGGCATGAAAAACACATACACAAGCACACACACACACACACACACACACACACACACACACACACACACACACACATGCACACGTGTTCTACTCATGTAAGAAATCGATATCCTGTATTTGCTGCAGTGATAAATAATATTGTATAGAGTACGATTCATCAAAGAGGAAAAATTACCAACAGTTTGCACAAGTTCAGGAAAAAAAGTATTGCTGTTCCGTGTTGATTGACTTTCCATCATTTGCTCTTCCGATATCAAGAGTGCCCATAATAACATGTCCTAAATGGATCAAAAACCCCTTCTCCAACGTTCAATGTTTCGAGAATTATGGCGTTGCGGCCATTCGCGGTTTTTCTGTTTTGTCTCTATCGGAGATAGATATTAAACCTTTATCAAAAGAAAAACGTTATTTTATATTGAAGATCTAGCCTTCGAAACAAACTTTCTGAGCTAAAACGGGCGGGAAAGTCGTATAAATATTATAGTACGGTACTTTATAGTTAGTTGCAGTCAAATTTTCCGAATCTCTTTCTGTAAACTTCTACAAAAGGCGGAAGGTTCAACCCTTACACCGAAAATGAGGATGACCACGTATCACAAATCACGAGAGACTAAATGAAAATGTTCGCAACAAAAAATATCACAGCTCACCACAAAAAATGCCAGTTTGTAAAGATAATGAAGTGCACCAACGGGATATTTTAATCTACAGGTACGAACATTCTTCCATTGTGGTTTCTATAAATAATTCATTATATCATCAACCGCACCAATAGATCAAACCAACACAGTACAACAGAGTTATTCCAACGCCAAATTGTCGGCTAGCTGTTCATGTGTACATAACCCAAATATTGTGAAAAAAAAACAACAACAATAAAAACCAAATTAATGCAATTTCTTCATCTGTGATATCAGTTGCATAAACTCGAGAAAAAATTCGGCCGCAATACAAATCCTAGATGTTGAAAAGGACAAGTGAATTGAGTAAGAATTTTTGTTTTGAATTGAAGAATGAATTCAGTAATGAATACGTAAAACAATTTCATAAACAGTATAAACATATTCAAATAATTCTAAAATAAAAAATAGTGACAAATAAATCGATTTCCAAATACTGATGCTTACGCTGCAATCTGTGAACAGAGTTAAGATAGATTTGTACACAAAGCAAGCAGACTGTTGGATAACCATGACAAGAAATAAAGATAGCCAGGCTGAAAATGGGACCAAATGGTGAAAAGCACAAAGAATAAAGAAATGAAAACCTTGCGTAAACAAAAAAACTTCTCAGTCGCAGAGAAATCAATATTGTCGTGCTTGGGCGAGTTATTCAAACGCCAAATTGTCGGCTAGCTGTTCATGTGTACATAACCCAAATATTGTGAAAAAAAACAAAACAATAAAAACCAAATTAATGCAATTTCTTCATCTGTGATATCAGTTGCATAAACTCAAGAAAAAATTCGGCCGCAATACAAATCCTAGATGTTGACAAAAGCAAAAACACAAAAAATTATCATGATAATAAATAAAGAATAAAAAAAGCATAATGTAGGTATAGATCTAACTGCTAAAAGAATGAAACAGGTTTTTTTTCTCTCTCCTAAAGTGTTTTGCTTTCTGAGCTTAGTAGAACAACTCCTGTATAAGTTGCCACGAAATGTAAACAGCACACAGAACGTTCGGCCTCAGCTCTGTCTGAGCGTCATGACTATTTCTCATCGTGCAAGAACGCCGCACAGTGACCGTTTCCAGAATTAACATTGAACAATAATTGAATAACACATTTACAAAAGAGAAAGAAAAGTATACTGAAAAGGACAAGTGAATTGAGTAAGAATTTTTGTTTTGAATTGAAGAATGAATTCAGTAATGAATACGTAAAACAATTTCATAAACAGTATAAACATATTCAAATAATTCTAAAATAAAAAATAGTGACAAATAAATCGATTTCCAAATACTGATGCTTACGCTGCAATCTGTGAACAGAGTTAAGATAGATTTGTACACAAAGCAAGCAGACTGTTGGATAACCATGACAAGAAATAAAGATAGCCAGGCTGAAAATGGGACCAAATGGTGAAAAGCACAAAGAATAAAGAAATGAAAACCTTGCCTAAACAAAAAAACTTCTCAGTCGCAGAGAAATCAATGTTGTAAGCAACATTGCCGTAAGCATAACATTAGAGGTTTTTCTTGCAGTCTTTGACCTTCCTCTCATAATCTTGCAAAGCTTTGCTCTTTTTGCCCCCCGCACTCATCGCTGGGCAGTAGGAGCCGAAGAGCTTGTCAAAATGGTTGAAAAAGGGTTGGAAGTTGGTGAGGGGTTTTTGATGGTGCATGTCGTGCTTGGGCGAGCCCCCGATAGTGCCAGTTGGGTCCAAGTTGTGCAGAAGGAATGGGAAATCGAAGCCAATGTGAGCCTCTACGCTGACCAAGATGCTTACCATCATGTAGCTGTGGAAATGAAATTCCTGGTCTGGTTGAATGTTTCTGCGTGGAAAGAAATCAAACAAGATAGTCCCGAAAGAAACCATCGTGGGACATCTCTGTTAAAAACAATTAGTAATATGCTGAATTTGTCTATTTAATTCAATGCAATTTCTAGCACTCATAAATCGACATCAAACTCCTGGATCATAATGATATTGCTCTCACTGGAAATTGGAGGCAAAAGAGGTAAGTGTAGACAAAGAATAAGTTAAGCCAACGTTTGCTTCAGAGCTGGCACTTGAAGAACGAAACGAGAAACACAACTGCCCTAGTCTCGCACTGAGAGAGAGAGAGAGAGAGAGAGAGAGAGAGAGAGAGAGAGAGAGAGAGAGAGAGAGAGAGAGAGAGAGAGAGAGAGAGAGGACAGACAGACAGATAGACAATCAGAGAAGGAAAGGAAGGACACAGGGAAGGGTGACGATAATACAACGACTTGAGAACGGAAGACCTGGTCTACTCCAAGATACACATGACATGATCTGGTAAGGCGATACGCTCGTGGTGAAACAAGCCACAGGAAACGAGCCCCTTCTCATAAGTCATGATAGACGGTGATTTAATTTAACCCTGTATCGATTGTTAGCAGTATTTTACCTCCAAACAGTGAGCGGATGCGAGTTGAAGAACCAGGTGTTGGTGGTGGTGAGGAAACCGACGACAACCAGCTCCCAGGGGTGAAGATACTGAGTGACCCACACAAACGGGCTATTGTACCTGTGATGCACCGCATGGATGTGGCGGTACAAGAACCGAATCTGAGCAGAAAGATCATTTTGGAGGGGTTAAAAATAGAAACAGAGTTTAACTGTAGACAATACATTTTCAACAAAAGGAAGCTAAGTTGTTCTTAATACAGCAAAAGAGTATTTCTTACGAAAATGAAACTATATTGCAATTATATTTTTTATGTTACTTATGCGGAAAGTTTTTTTTATTGGTTAGAAATTTTTCGACGGTAACGAAGAAACCTTGAATGAAGTCAGGTGTTCTAGTACTTTTTGACCCCAAGTTCATTCACCCCAACGTAAAGCCTGGTCTACAAAGACTGACCAATTAAGTCGATTTAGCTTTCCAAAGAAAGTCAAGGGTTTATGTTTTAACGGTTCTTATCATTATAACAAAGGACACATATCAGAAATCAAAGTAACAGCTTTTTAATCTGACTATTTACATTATTAAACTTTGTAATACTGTGCTATGATAGAGAGCATTGCCCTGTTTGTGAGAATTTGAAAAAAAAGGATCATTTCGTAAGCGGGCAATAGCTGTGGGCGGGAGGCTTGGCTGACGCATTGGCACGGAGATTTGAACATAATTTAGCTGAACAGGAGAAAATAATATGCCTCTCTGACACTGCAGACGCCATGATGCGACTGTGCTAGCGCATTAGTGGGTAATTTTTCCCACTTTCAGCAAGACTTCGACAATTTGGATCTCTTTCTGTTTTAGGTATAGGAGGCCCTTTAACTTTAAGATGTGTAAAAATATTGAAACTGCACTCAACTTTCCATTAAATTTGCTCGAAACTGCCTCCTTCATTTATTCCTCTAGCCATACAAACCTGGACACACCACAAACAAAGAACGCTTGTTTCTTTTTAAAAAAAAATTGAAATCTGTTACAATATTCCACGGATCCAGATTGCTTACCGAAATACTGGAAATCTCGAATAGTTGTGTAAAACATCAATAAGATATTGATTATTACATTAAAGGTGTGTTGGAATCGATCAATATCAATTCCTTTAATACTATAATTCAACAACTTAGTGTGATGTTAGGGACATTCCATGTAATAGATGTTTCTAGATTAAAAACAAAACCAAAATGAAAGTCGGTCATTGACATCAAAATTTACACCTTCTGGCTGTTGATTACTGTTGTTGTGTACCTTGATTTAAAAGTTAAAAAATCAAACAACAGTGATCAGCTGCAAGTAACCTGACTGGCACGGGAGAGATCATAAAAGTTTGCAAACAACGCTGCCTCCTTTCCAAATGCTACTCAGGTGGCTAAAGTTCGTCTTCACGGGGTCCAGAAATAAATACAGACTCCCAACAATGTTGGAAAAATTAGGAGAGATCTTTTTTCGTATTGTAGTAACTGTGGGAATTGGCATCTAAGACAAGGCGATCATGAATGCAGTGTTTGTAAAATTGTCAGAGATGTCATACCATGGCCGGTATGATTTGTGAAATTATGTGTGCAGTTTGTGCAGACGTCCACTTTTGTTTCCTAAGTTTCCTCCATGGGGATGAATAAAAGGGATCTTCCTTTTGCATTAGTTTTTTCACGTTTCCTGCCCTCAACATAGTAGAAGTGTAAAAGAAAAGGATAACATAAAGAACCAGCGTCCAGATAGTAATGGTAAGGCTCTTCATTATTGCACGAAAAAGACGCGAGTTCGACACCCTCGTTGAAAATACATTCCAATCTGTTGGGTATTTACGTACCTTTTCGACTCAGATGAGTTCCACACAGCCTGTTTTGGCTAAGAAAGATTAGTCTAAAGTAACCGGTATCGTAAGCTAACAAAAGGATATTGTGTGTTTATTAGCTTTATTCTTTCTTTGCAGTGGATGTAATAAATAAAAACCGTTAAATTAAGTCAGTTACCAACCTTGTGGTGTGTCAGGTGCCATACGTAGTACTGAAAATCAAAGACAAATAAAGCCGCTATCTGATGCCAAACAAACTCGAAGATCGTGGGCGCCTCACCAGGCAGAGGAGTAGGTAAAACCCAGATCATCTGACCAATCGCAGCCGGCATGATGAAGAGGATGTGGTTCCAGAAGGTCAGGTAAAGTGTGTCGTAGATCAAATCAGCTGTAACCTGGGAAAGTGACAAGGGATTTTGTTGTCGTTGTCTTTGTCGTTGTCGTTGTCGTTGTCGTGGTAGTTATACAAGTGGTCGGAGAGAAGGTTAAAGGGACGGCAGCTGTGACTTGACTTTGCTACTATTGACTGTTATTATGATTATTGTTTTTGTTAACCTTTAAAAATATAGGAACATGTAAAATGAGTGATCAGCAGAAGACCTAAGGCAATGTTGCAGCACATTTCTAACCAACATACCCAAGTTTGCAATTTTAGTGCATACCTTTTTAAGTTTCAGATATAGAAAACCTCAAATCGTCCAACTTCAAGCCTGAAGAAATTGTGCGTTTTCAATGAGTTTAGGATAGTATAGCAATAGTTGTGTTGAAATAATCCTACGTGAACTGTTCAGCGAATTTTCTCGGTAGCTTTTTTGTGATGGCATTGCTGCTGTTGATGAGGACAAGGATATGAGAACAAAATCAGACAGGATTGTTCTTTGTAAACCCTCAAAAGCAAACAAACAAACTAACTATCTAACAGACAAAAAACAAAATACAAAACCAAACAAAGGCACATAATAACTACACAAGGTAAATTAACTTTCACCATCTACACACAAACCTTGTTAAACAATCTGATAACACCTTGATCTTGGAAAACTCCTCATCTTTTCAAAATTCATAACATTCCCTCTTCATTTCTTGTATTGAATATGAATTTTAAAAATTCTCCTTTATTACGTTTATCTTATTACGAGGAGGTTTACAGGGACAAAGAAGGTACGTTGACCTTGTTCAAGTCTGGTAGACGTTTTGTCTACATTGATGTCCCCCCTCACCACAAGATTTTCAGTTTGGAGATTGGAGGCCTACGTTGTACCATTACGGCCTGGGAAAAAAAAGTGGCGATGGGAGCAGCACAGCCGGTGGAGGTCATCCTGCCCCCGACACCAATGGGCAAGCTTCGATCCGGACGGCCAACACTCAGGCAGAGACACACACCCTGCGTGCCGTAACGAAACAAACTAACATGGACTTTTCCCCCTCAGCCCGACCGCCCCTGCCCCTCAGTCCGCTCACCCCGAAGCCAAGACACAAGGTCCCCAAGCAATAACACGAGGAGTAAATATGCGGGTGAGAGACGAGCCCGCTCGGTCACCAAGTGTAAAGTCACGAAAGCAGGAGGTGAGTGGTACGAGAAGAAGGGAGGACACAATATATTATTCTGATTTTGAGGAGCCAGTGGAAACCGAAGATCGTGAACACGAAGAGGTCGGGGCGGGAGTGGTGTGTACATGTTTGGGTAGCCATTGGTAACTACTTGGATTTTTTAAAGGACCTTGAGTTTGGTTTTGAGTCTGACTGTTTTGGATGTCAATAAGAATCGTCTCCCTTAATTGGTCGCTTTTAAGGACAACCGGGCTAACCCAGATTTCGGGGGTTTACAGAAATCTTGACCTACAACAAAAGTGGGCATTGCCCTACCTATACGAGAAGTTTGGTTTAATTGATTTGTATATGTGTTTGGCTCTAGAGAAAACTCTCCTTGTCTTTTAAAGAAACTGAACAAGGGTCCAAAAACTTTACCTTACATTTTTTCAAATCAGCATTTTTCGGGATAGCCCCCTTGTGCTTAAAAGCGACCAATTGCCTTTGTTTTATTTTTGTTTTTGTAAGTGTTTTTACGGCGCTCGCAACTGCATAAGGTCATATGAGCGCGCGGGACACATTTAACTTTTTCAGTTGGTAGGAAATTTTGAATTTTGTCCGGGTGGCGGCCAAAGCCTACTCTTATCGATTTTAGACCACCAAAGGATTTTTAACGTTACGCAACTTTCACACCGGCCCTCCGAGATTTTTCGCCCTTGTCCGAGAAGGCTAGGGGTAGATCTTTCCTACCAGAAGATCAGGGGTGTGGCTGAAAGACAGCAGTAAGAAGAAGCCTAGGAATAGCAGTAGAAAGGCTGTAGAAAGAATCAGGAGCCCAGAGGAGTTGGGCAAAAGAGGTGAGGGGGGGGGGCAGAAAGAGGAGACAAAAGCAGACGACAGAACATTGCTAAAGAGCAGGAAAGGATGTGAAAGGAGACAAATTTAGAGAAGAAATTATTTTGGTCACTACCTGGATTCGAACCCGTGACCTTTGAATGAAAGGCCAACACCTTAACCTCTAGGCCACGAGAGCCCCCACCAATTATCTGGGCCTTAACAAAAACCTAAAAAGAAAAACAATGTTCCGTAAATGTACACAATATGGCATTATGTGTCTGCAAGAGACTTATGTCACCAATACTACTGCACGTGAGTGGAGTTTAGAATGGTCTGTGGAATTCTTTTTTAGTGAAGGAACTAGTAAAAGTAAAGGAACATTTATACTTGTTAATAAAAATTTTAATAAATGGAGGGTCGCGGGTCGGGTCCAGGGCCCCAGGGACATATTTTCACCCACTCTGAGCGCTGTTTACTTTTGGTATTTTCAGATCCCTCATTCAGTCTAGATTTTATTGACACTTGTTGCTGAATGATTAGCATTAACAGTATTCAATTTTACACGGTTCTATGTGGTGTACTAACAATTTTTATGTTTGACCTAGTTTTTCTCAAAACACACTTTTTCACCACCTTTTGTTTGCATATGTAGGTTTTTTCCCTCCACCATTTTTTTCCTACACAGAGACTTGACATTTGGCATGTAGTTAGAGAACTGGTTTGTACTTGTGTTGGGCTGGTTAGTTATTTTATATTTTGCTTTAGATTTTTTTAACGATTTTATTTTCCATATCAAAAATATTTTTTAAAGATCGAATTCCATATCCCCAACTTTGAGAACAATTTGGAATACTTTCTAAGTATAGTACCAAAAATCAAAACAACCAGCTGCAAGCACCTATTTATTTGTGACATTTTACAAGCTTTAGAATTTTAAAAAGTTAAAACTGTAGAAATAGAGGGGGAATAATGTCTATCCAATTTTCAAGATGGCCGCTGTTTCCATTGCAAGGGCTTAGGTAATCAAGTGTGTCAATAGTTGAACATGAATCCTTTGTCTCAGACTTACTGCCTGCGACAAAAGTTTGTTTTCCGTTTGTCTTTAGTTACAAACGTCGTCCCGTAAGTATCGAACCCCCTTGTATAAAGCAGTGGAATTAGGTATAAAAACAGAAAGAATGCTAGGGTTGTCTTTCAGTATAGATGATGTTTCATACGTAGCAATTAATGTATATTATGGTCCAGTAGTTAAAAATGATAAGTTGGATGTCATTGATAAGCTTTACTCTGTTTTTTAAGATGTAAAGGTAGACCACATCATCAGATATGGAGATTTTAATGTTACCCGTAACAATAACCTTGATACTGTGACCGGAGAGAAACACGACATGTTCACAAAAAAGTTCAGTGACTGGATCGCCAATTCATCTTTGATATCTGGCGGGTATGCAGTGTGAAGAAAATGATGTCACCTGGTCCAGGCCTACACCATTTACAGCACGCCGGCTGGACTACATAATATTTTTGTAATACTGAGCTGTTTCCCTTTGTTATAGACTCTAAACACGCATTTGTATTTGGCACGGATCTTAAATCACTCACAACTACTGTTTGAACTGAAAAATTTTTTAAAGAGGGCTTTCATTTTATAATTTTATAAATTCATTACTAAAGGACAAAGAGTACGTTAACACAATGGAGAAATGCATCGACAGATATTTTGAACGGACTTCGGATGAAACGGATTCGACCATAAGATGGGAACTTTTAAAAGTCAGGGCAAGGTAACGTACAGTTGACTATAGTGTTAGAAAGTGCAGAGCTCTCAAACTAAGGGAAAATCTAATAATGGAAGAACATTTGAAATTAAATTATAAAGTAGTAAAAAAACAACAACAGGATATTACATTGCTTAGACAGTTTGAATCCAAAAAGAAAGAAATAGAAATAGAAATATATCAACTACATAAGGCCAGGGGAGTACAAATACGATCAAGACAAAAATGAATTGAGCAAAGAGAAAAGAATACTAAATACTTTCTTCGGATGGAGAAAATGAGACGTGTCGGTAACGTTATATCTTCTTTACAGGATGACAAAAACAACAATCTGTATGTTTATGCAGATATTGTGGATAGAGTTAAAAATCACTTTGAGCGTTTGTATAAGAAGGACCACAATATTGAAACAGAGTTGATGATTTCCTGCAAGGATGTAATTATCCAGTACTCGAAGATGCTGATAAAGAAATATGTGACAGTGAATTTGATGCCATTGCCAGAGGCGAAGCGTCTATATAATCAAATAATCACTGCTTCCCTTCCTAATTTTGAAACATTGCCCCAGACAAATTCACCCGTAGACGTAAACCTCATAAATTAAATGTAAAAAGACGGTCATAATCACCAATGAACAATAGACTATGCCTAACCTTCAAAACCGTTTCATTGCTACAGAAATAGCCAACAAGTCAACGAAAGAATCTCGACTTAGATTATTGCATTTTAAAATCTGCCATAACATCTTTGCAAGTAAAATTCTACTCAGTCGCCTAGGCATTAAAAATACTGAACTATGGGAGCACTGTGGTGTAAACACGTTATTGAGCACATGTTTATTCTTTGTTCCCTGTTTTAAAAAAACGTCTGGAAATACGTATTTCATACTTTTTGTTATAAAACTTCATCCCGTTTTCCCAGGACTGACAGTAACATACTTTTTGGTGTCAGTGAACAAGGGCAAGGTGGAAAAGAAGCTCAGTTAAACATCGTTGACCACATTCTTTTGATTGCATAGATGTGTGTTAGCATGATACGCTACAGCAAAGACATAAATATACGAGTCTTGTTTGAAACGGGGCTGGAGCTAAGAGAAAGTAGCTTTTTGTAAGGTTCAGTGATAGCGCCTGCGGTGGTAAGATAAAATATATGTATATTCATATCTTGTTTCCAGCCCTTCAAATCTGAATGAAACTGATGGAAAAAGTGTGTGTGTGTGTG